AGGGAAGGCATGGGCGGGGGTGGAGGGGTGGAGGGGTGGCGGGACAGGCTGAGACAGGGACAGGGGACTACAAAAGGAAGACGCGTTCAGGGCCTAACTGTGGCCAGGCCTGGCCTAACCGCTTCCTGAGGATTCAGTCATTTATTCCTCACAGCCTTCTAGGGTTGGTACAAACATCACCCTCATTTTACCAATGGGGAAACTGAGGCTCAGAGATGTCACCTGACTTACCCAAGGCCACCAGCCACTCGGGGAGGGGGCCGGAAGAGAACAGGGAGAGTGAGGAGTGGAGGAAGGGAGGCCTCTCCAGCAGCCTCTCTTCCTGCCTCGAGGCCCGTGAGCCCTCCACTCACCTGCTCCAGTCACCTCCACGAGGTTGCTCAGGCTGGTCCTCCCACCGTCCATGCTGTAGCGGCAGCGGTAGAGGCCCCGGGTGTCACCAGTCACTGCTCCCAGTGGGAATCTGTACTCGGTGGCAGGTGAACCCAGGTGCACCAGTTCCTGGGCCACCCCATCCTTGAAGAGCTGGAACTCCAGGGTCCACAAGGGGCTCTGGCATGTCAGCGTCACGTTGGCCCAGGGTTCCAGCAGCGATTCGGCCTCTGCCCACAGGGTTGGCCTTGTGTCGCAGTCTGCGTGGGGATGGGTATCAGATCTGGGGGCCCAGGCAGGGGCTCACCCCGCAGCACCCACCATGCCCAGGCCCGGCCCACTCACATACGGCCTCCTCGGTCACTGGGTTCAGGGAGAGACCTGCGGTGACCCACCACCTGTGAGGCCCCATGGCTGTTCATTCCCGCCCCTTATCTGGCCCCGGGGACCCCAGGCAGGACGCCTCACCCCAGAGCAGCAGGAGGGCCACCCGGGCGGACATGGTCAGCCTCACTGCAGCCACAGGAGTGTCTGCCGGGTGATAAGGCCCAGCCAGGGTGGCCGGGGGGGTGGGGTGGGGTGGAGGGCGCAGGGCACTGACCTCGCAGCTCATCTGTATTTCCAGGAAAGCAGGGCTCCAGGGGGTCGGGACAAAGGGCAGATGTGGCCTCAGGAGTCTCAGCTATAGCAACAATCAATAACTATGCAGAATGAATAAACTAAATTAAGAGTAAAGATAACAAAATAAATGATATAATAACAGCAAAGAATAACAAATGAAGAAAATTAATAATAAATAGTAAATGGAAAAATAATAAGAATATTTTTAAAATAAAAATAAAATTGTGAATTTCCTGCTGGTCCAGTGGTTAGGACTCCACTGCAGGGGGCAAGGGTTCGATCCCCGGTCAGGGAACTAAGATCCTACATGCCAGGCAGTGTGGCAAAAAAAAAAAAAGAGAGAGAGAAAAGAAATACATTAAAATAAAATAAATACTAAACCAAGTAATGTAATAAATAATAACAAATACATTTAAATAATAGTATGGAATCATAGTTAGCAAACAAAATTACCAATATGCTTGGGTTTTGGTCCACCTTTTTCTTTTCTGTTTGTTCCTTCTGTTATCCGTCTGTTTCCCCTTTCCTGCCCTCTTTTGGGTTATTTTTTCTCAGGTTCCATTTTAATTCATCTACTGAGTTTTTTTTTTTTTTTTTTGCGGTACGCGGGCCTCTCACAGCTGTGGCCTCTTCTGTTGTGGAGCACAGGCTCCAGATGCGCAGGCTCAGCGGCCATGGCTCACGTGCCTAGCCGCTCCACGGCATGTGGGATCTTCCTGGACCGGGGGAAGAACCCGTGTCCCCTGCATCGGCAGGCGGACTCTCAACCACTGCGCCACCAGGGAAGCCCCATCTACTGAGTTTTTGATCATCTCTTTGTATAGTCTTTTTTAGGGATTTCTCTAAGGATTACAGTATGCATACTTAACTCTTCACAGTCAACTTAGAATTAATATTTTACCACTTAAAGTGGGATTTAGAAACTTTATCACTATATAGGTCACTTTATCCTCCCCTCTAAATTTTTAAAAAAATCTTGTACACTAATGGTTTTCTTTGAGATATAATTTATAAACAGTAAAATGTACAAATCTCAAAATATGTCACTGAATGAATTTTGATACCCTCCTCTTTTTTTTTTTTTTTTTTTTTTTATTGCGGTACGCGGGCCTCTCACTGCTGTGGCCTCTCCTGTTGCGGAGCACAGGCTCCGGACGCGCAGGCCCAGCGGTCATGGCTCACGGGCCCAACCGCTCCACGGCATGTGGGATCCTCCCGGACCGGGGCACGAACCCATGTCCGCTGCATCGGCAGGCGGACTCTCAACCACTGTGCCACCAGGGAAGCCCAATACCCTCCTCTCTTTATGCTGCAGTTGTCATATATACCATGTTAACATACACTGAAAACCCTACCAGAAAATGTCATAAATCTTACTTTCGACCACCATAAATATCTTAAAGATCAAATGTAAGCAATCTAAAGTCCCTGTAGCATTTCTTTTAGTACAGGCCTGATTGCAACAGATTGTCTTAGTTTTGCTTCACCTGAGGATGTCTTTATTTTGCTTTCTTTTTTTTTTTTAATTCATTTTATTTATTTTTGGCTGCACTGGGTCTTCGTTGCTGTGCACAGGCTTTTTCTAGGTGCGGCGAGCGGGGGGCTACTCTCCATTGTGGTGCGCGGGCTTCTCCTTGTGGTGGCTTCTCTTGTTGTGGAAAACGGGCTCTAGGCCTGCAGGCTTCAGTAGTTGTGGCACGTGGGCTTAGTAGTTCTGGCTCACGGGCTTAGTTGCTCTGTGGCATGTGGGATCTTCCTGGACCAGGGCTGCAACCCATGTCCCCTGAATTTGCAGGCAGATTCTTAACCACTGCACCACCAGGGAAGCCCCTTCTTTCATTCCTGAAGTGCATTTTCACTGCATATAGAATTCGGACTGACAGTTCTTTTTCTCAGCACTTTAAAAATGTTGTTTCCCTGCCTTCTGGCCTTTATGATTTCTGATAAGAAGTCTATGATCTTACGGGACTTCGCTGGTGGTCCAGTGGTTAAGATTCTGCGCTCCCAATGCAGGGGACCTGGGTTCAATCCGTGGTCAGGGAACTAGATCCAGCATGCTACAACTAAAGATCCCACACGAGGCAACGAAGATCCTGTGAAACTAAGACATGGCGCAGCTAAAAAAATAAAAAAGAAATCTATGATCTTTTGTATTAATCTTTATGTGAGGCATAGTTTTCCTCAGGCGGCTTTCAAAAAGTTGAAATGTTTTAGTTTTCAGCTTTGATTAGGATGTGTCTGGGCATGGATTTCTTTGAGATTCTGTTGTTTTGGGTTCACTGAGCTTTCCGAACCTGTAAGTTTATACCTTTTACCAAATTGGGAAAGTTTCCAGCCATTATTTCTTCAAATATTCTTTCCATCATCACAAAGAATGTGATTTCATTTCCGACTATACTTATGGTTTCATGAGTCTCTCATTGTGATTCTGTCCTATAACAAGGCTGTTAAAACCTGCCTGGTTTCAAACTATTACGTCATCTTTTTTTTCTTCTTCTTCTTCTTTTTTTTTTGCGGTACGCGGGCCTCTCACTGCTGTGGCCTCTCCCGTTGCGGAGCACAGCCTCCGGACGCGCAGGCTCGGCGGCCACGGCTCACGGGCCCAGCCACTCCGCGGCATGTGGGATCTTCCCGGACCGGGGCACGAACCCGTGTCCCCTGCATCAGCAGGCGGACTCTCAACCGCTGCACCACCAGGGAAGCCCTTACGTCATCTTAATGCATTGTTCCTTTTATAAAAATACAGTGACCCTTTCATCTTAATAATGTTTTTCTGCATTAACAGCTATTTTGTCTGAAATTAATACAGCTCCATCAGCTGGCTTCAGCTTCATGCATCCCTTGTATATCCTTTTGTGTTCCTTTACCCTCAACTTTCCCATGTCCTTGTTTTAAGTGTATGTCTTCTAAAGAACATATGCCTGGGGAATTCCATGGCGGTCCAGTGGTTAGGACTCCACGCTTCCACTGCAGGGGACATGGGTTCGATCCCTGATTGGGGAACTAAATCCTGAAAGCCCCGTGGTGTGGCCAAAAAATTAAAATAAAAAAATAGAAACATATGCCTGGATTTGAAAGACATCCAATCTGTTAGCATTTGTCTTATTTGGTGTGTGGAGTATAGTCATGCTTATTGAAATCACTGATATATTTGAATGTGCTCTCAAATCCCAGTGCTTCCATCCTTCCATCCTACATTCTCTGACCCCTCTCTGCCTCTATAAAGTGGGGATGCTGGGCTTCTTTGGTGGCGCAGTGGTTAAGAATCCGCCTGCCAATGCAGGGGACACGGGTTCCAGCCCCGGTCTGGGAAGATCCCACATGTCGCGGAGCAACTAAGCCCATGAGCCACAACTACTGAGCCTGCGCTCTAGTGCCCGCAAATCACAACTACTGAGCCCATTTGCTACAACTACTGAGCCTGTGCTCTAGAGCCCATGCTCCGCAACAAGAGAAGCCACCTCTATAAGAAGCCTGTGCACCGCAAGGAAGAGTAGCCCCCGCTCACCGCAACTAGAGAAAGCCCGTGCACAACAATGAAGACCCAATGCAGCCAAAAATAAATATAAATAAATAAATATTTTAAAAAATGGGGATGCTTGTCCTGCCCTCAGAGTGTTGTGTGAGGATTAAATGAGATGCTGTATATAAATTATTTGGCAGATTGACCAACACAAGCAGGCCATTAATAAAGATTCCTTTCTTCCCCTGACCTCCTTCCCCTTTAGACAAACATGGGCAGACACACTTCTCATGGCAGAGTGGGTGTTAGAGATGCTCAGAGCACCGAGGGGAAGGAGATTTGTTTCCTCAGTGACAGAGACTGTGAGGGTGGGGTCAGAGAGGCGGAGTCAAATGTCACCGGTCAGAGCAAGTTGCCAGGCCCTGGATCAGGCGCTGCACAAAGCACGTCTGATCATCCCCTCTTTCCAGGCTGAGTAGGTCAATGAGGTTCATGAAGGTCACTTATCCGATGCCCCCAAAGCAGCCTAACTTCAGGGCCACTCCCTGCAGCCTGTTGGAGGCCTGGGGGCACTGGGAACATGCATCTCTTGCCTCTGAGTTTCCCCCCACATCTGTCAACTTTCTCAGTCTCTCGGCCTCGGCCACACTGTGTGTGGAAGTCGACCTGTGTCTAGGTGTACCTGGGACTCTCTCAGAGATGCTGACACAAGATCTCCATCTCCCTGGGTCTCAGCCTTCCTGTTCTGAACCACCCACATCGGTTGGTCTTTGTTTACTCATGACACAGAAGGAACAAATCCAATACGGAGGGAGAAACACAGGGAGAGATGGTGACGATGACCAGTACACGACAGTATGGGGGGTGGTGTCAGATGGTTCACACGTGATGGGGTCATCAGAGAAACAGAGGAAAGAAGGCTGATGCCCTGGCAGTTAGGAACAGAGGCTGCGACATCCAGTTACAGACATGGACCCTGCAAGAGGGACAGGGATACAGCATTGTGAGAGAAGGCAGAGAGCAGTGACAGGATGCTGGCTGCCAGAGCCCACGGCACCAGGGGGGCTCTGGGGCCATGGAAAGGGTGAACTCAATACAGGAACATTTTATTGAGGCTGCTGTATGCCAGGCTGGTCTGAGTGCCGGGGCCCTGGAGAAATTGGATTGTTTTGCCCTGTAGGCCCCACAGCTGGCGCGGGGGAGAGAGCCACATAAACATCTGTAAGGACGACGTAGGATGGAGCGTGGTGACCACCTCCGGGAAGGCGTCAGTCATGCATTCAGCAGCCATGGGTCAGGGCCCGTTGCCCCGTGTGCTGAGAATAAGACACGGCCCCTGCTCTTGGAAGCTCACAGTGTCCTTGGGAAACACAGTTTCCAAGCTCTGTAAGGAGTACATATAATATGGTAGGAGGCTT